TGGCAATAGGACATGCAGTAGTTCTTTCATTAGATTACGTAACATATTTTTTGCTGTAGTGACAATTTGAAATGTAATACGAGTTAAATTCTGACTTTCACCATTTTAAATAGTTATCTGCAGTGTCCAGACAAGGTGGCCTGTTGAGAGCTCCTGACTCCATGTGGCTTTCTGCTTTAACTGCTGATATAATGGATATGTACACAGCAAAAGGGACATCAATTAAGAAATTAAATGCAATATCTACATTAATTCAGTATGCTTTGCTACACTGAACATTGCTTTACATGTGACAGGTTTGCTTCAAGATTGGCCTAAAGCTTGTTATAAACTTTAACTATTTAGATTCCTCCATTACTCTCTAACCAAAGCAATTATGAAGAGGAATTGAGAAAGAACCAGCCAACCAATGGCTCTATTCATACCTAGATCCTACTCTTTAAGATAACGCACCAAAGCCCCAACTGTGGCTATGTTATTGCATTACAATTAGTAGTGTGGTTAAAAAGCTAAAAGGTAAGATTGGAAGCAAGCCCTTTGGTAACACCAAACTGTGTTCAGTTTTGTTGCTGTCTTCTAAGATAATGTAGCTGTATCCAGCTTTGGTACTCGGATGGAGTCAAGAGCTGTTTGGTGGTAGAAATCCAGTCTAGTTCTCATTTTAGGTTACGCAACAGCAGTGGTGATGATGGTGGGGTAGTGTAACCTTGGCAATATATATATATGTATTAGACTATATTTGCCATTCTTCTCACCCTAAATTTGCTGTTTTTCTTTAAATAGGAGCATCTCTCTTTTTACATACAAACTATACCCAAGCTACTCCAACAATACTGACTGTGCAAGCAGAAAAGCCTTGACAGTAAAAGATATTATCAGCTTTGTGTTCTCCTAGATCCCACTCCCACCTTTCCACCCCAGCCTTGCCCTCCTCAAGACTATGTGACATGGACACAGGCTGACACACAGGCTCCTCGCTCAATAACAGACAATAAGAACTATAATCCGTGTCCTGCTGCTGCAGACAATAGTCAGTGAAAGGGGAGGGGGGTCAGCCATCTGCTCTTCAGGATCCAGTAAGACACACAAACTGAACCGCATGTCTCTGTCAAGAAAAAATACAAATCCTTTGCTATAATTGTGATGCCACACACAGGCGTTCTTCACAAAGAATTGTATGTGTTTTGTTGCCACACAGTGCTCCAATACTGGATTGCGGTTTTCTTTTTGTCCATAAACACTTTAAATATATGATCATACCATAATACAGCCATTAAATAATGAACCTTCACAAAATATAAATCATAGCCATAATACAATGGATGATAAAGTTTCTCTACATCAGAGTGGGACTGTTAAAATTTGGCACCGATACTTCAGCAGCAAGGTTTAGTATTGTACCAAAAAGGAAAACAAGGAGGAGCGCAACTGACTGGCACGGAATGTGTGGATGGTGAATAATTAGGGATTAGTAATGGATGGAGGTAAATTTAAACATTGGAGTGAAAGGGCAGCGTTTGACACTCACGTGTGATGAAGTGGGCACATTGTTGGTGACCTATGCTGATGGGATAGGTATTGGTTTGGTGGTGGAACACTCCTGGGGATGTGGTCGTGGGGTCTCGCCGCTGGAGTGGAGAGGCCCACAACCACATCACCAGGAGTGTCCCACCACCGAACACATACCTATCACATCAGAACAGTTCACCACCACTGTGCCCACTTCATCACACGTGAGTGTCAAACGCCGACCTTTCACTCCAACATTTAAATTCACCTCAATCCATTATTAATCCCTAATTATTCACCATTCACACATTCCGTGCCAGTCAGCTGTGCTCCTCTTTGTTTTCCTTTTCTGTTCAGCTTCACACAGTTAGACACCTTGGTCTAACAACATAAGGAGCCGCACACCGACCTTAACACATCACACCACCCTAGGAGTGTGCTAACCAATCAGACTACATTTTTCTGTGTCCAAGCACTGCTGGGAAAAGGGTGTCTTGTTTGGAGGTTCTAATGAAGAGAATCAAAACACTTCCCGGTATGTGAGTGGGCCAATGACTCTCTTGCCTAAAGCCTCATATCTATATATTTGCTATTTAAAAATCTAAGGTTCTGCTGCCTCTGACTGCTAGTCTAAGGAGATTTGAAATGAGATTTGGTGGGGGTCACATTTTTGCTGCTCACTGTTCTCCATACTAGGGGCTTTGGCATGACGCAGGAAAGCCTCTACCAAGATTGGCGCCTCCACAGGGGCACAGTGCAGAGCATGGCATGGTTAGTCAGTAATAAGGAAAGATCAGCTGCAGGGAGACCACAGGCAAAAGCTAGTGACTAGCCCTTTGTCCTCTGCCTGCCTTTTTATGTGAACAGCTTCCATAGTTCAGTTCCTCTGTAAATGTTCAGGTTTAATTTCTAGTTTTGGTTTAGGGGATTTATGCACAATGTTGAAATGGGCATTCTATGGGGGCCTGGGATTCGGGATACCACACGTGCTGGAGTGGTAATGTTGAGGTATGAACAGGCACTGCTACATTGTACTGCTGCAACCTGTTCTTTACCTTTATGTAACTGGCATGTTTGCTTTCAACGAACACTAAACTCAGGCGTTAAATCTTAAAAATGTATTCAAGTATTATTGAATACATTTATATTCAATAAAAATGTATTCAACTATTATTTAAAATGTAGCTTATTTATGTATCACTGGGCTGTAGATCCTCAAATCATCTCTGGATTCAAGCTTATTTGTGTATCACTGGGCTGTAGATCCTCAAATCATCTCTGGATTCATGCTGATGCTGTCCTTCCTTCTTACTCTGTATGCACATATACACATTACAAAATTATTTTAATATTCCAATTTCAATAAAATTGTTCTTTAAAATCCCTCCCTCTAGAGCGTGGCTACTTTTGTTCGCCATGGTCCCTGTGTGTGTTGTAAGGTAGCCACCACTCCAAGCTCACGCCTGTGATGGACTACAATCTCACTACAAATTAGTAAACTAAACATAAGATTGTAGCCTATCACGGGAGCGAGCTTGGAGCGGTGGCTATTTTATATAACACACACAGGGACCATGGGGAACAAAAATAGCCACCCTCCAGAAGGAAGGACAGTGTCAGCATGGATTCAGGAGGTGATTTGATGGTCTATAGCCGAGTGATACACATATAAGCTACATTTTTTTTTTTTATTAGTTAAGGTACTTAAATGCATTTTTAAGTTTTAACGCCTGAGTTTAATGTCACTTTAAACAAAACTGATTGTGGTGTTGGTGCTTTTCTAATTCAATGAGAAATAATGCTGATCTAATTTTTATTTTAAGATATAAACTTACGCATGATCAACTTGTGGTGCACCTAGACTCACACAACTTTATATTTTAAATAGTGTGAAACACATCAATAGTGATGATGATGATGCATAATTTACAACATATATACTGTAGCTGCTCTTTTGTCCAGGACCACAAGTTCATCCATTGCTTTGTGTTATTGTGAAACAGCTTTTGTGATAGGCTTTGATAAGATTAATAGAAAAGTGCTCTACTGCTATAATTAGAATATATATATTAGGGATGCACAGATACTTTTCGAGTACCAGTGCAGATACTTGGCATTTTCATGAGAACTACCAGGGTTGCAGCTGTTGCAGCTGGGACCTGGCTCTGGCTCTCCACCACTGCCCTGAAATCATTAGTCTGTATTGTTTTAGAAAAACTGTCACATGACAATAAACAAAAATGTATCAGTACTCGTACTTGTAATTACTCGGCAAGTACCAGTACTCGTACTCTCAAAACTGGTATCTGTGCATCCCTATATTTATAAAAACAAAACCGTACATTAAAACAGAGATGTACAAATCCCAAGAGCTCTGTGTGCTCCTTACAAATGACAGCTGCCTCCTAATATTTGAATTTTTCTCTAGTGTAGTCTTGGCGGTCTAAAGTATCGGTACATGTACTCGTACTTGTACCGAGTACTGTACTTGGTATCTGTGCAACCCTAATATATATCAGACAACCTGTCCGATAACTCCTCTCGCAAGAAGCCTCAGTTTGTGGGTAATTTACAGATATGTTCCAACCCTGTGAAGCTGGACCGTGCAACTGTCATCACTGTTTATGATTTTTCTCTTAAAATGGAAGTCTTCCAGTCTAGGGACTGAAACAAGAAGAAAACAATGCAGCTTTTGTAATTCCGTGTGAGTAATATTTTATCACAGCAGTTGTTCATCAAGGAAGATAAATTATGAAAGTTAAATATATATAGTCTCTAGAGGGAGAATCTACAAATCTATTTATGTAGTACAGTAATTAAAATATGGAACACCCAACATGTCAATAGTCAGATTATAAATGCCAATTTAATGGTGTGGTTCTTGAGTAGTGAGGAAGGACAACTTGGTTTAGCAAAGCCCAAGAAGGAGGCCAAGGTTCTATGGTTTAGCACTGTGAAGCAAGTGGCCAGACTGCTAGCTAATCAAACTTCTCTATGTAGCTTTCTTTTATCTTCAGGTGCTTCTGTAAGATATCTCTCTTCCTTTCTTTTTCTTACTTCAAATTTCAGTCAAGAACAATCCTTTAATGGTGGCAATTCTTGGGCAATGTTCTAAGATCGAACAACTTATCTCCTCGCAGGAACTAGAGCAACAAAATTTCTGCTGTCGTTTATTTGTTGCTCAGTGTCAAATATTTTGTAAGATCAATCTCTGTAAACCTTTCACTGCCTGTGAGAACTTGAAAGTGATAAAACACGTTAGAAATACTGTATAGAAGTTAATAATGTTTAGAGAGAAATGTAGAGGAATTTCATGCTGAAAACATTGTATGCGAATATATTTCCTACCTTGCTGCTGCAGCTTATAATCCGTTGAATACGCCTTGCCAATCATATTCCATACAGGCCGGAGGCAGCCAAAAAGTCCTTCTAGAAAACCACTATTGCCACTTCCTGCGCGGCTGAAATGTATCTTGATGTCTTCTGTGCCACTATTACTGCCTCCGTCTCCTGAGTGGCTGGTGCCCTGAGGTGCAGTATTCTCTGCTTCATCTTGGTCCCTCAACTGTAGAACACTGTTTTCAAACTGGTCTCTTGAGTCCTCACTGATGGAGGTTAGGACAGCTGCAGTTACTGGGCTACTGGCATTTTCTAGGTTATCACACTTTTCCTGGTTCTCTGGAGGCTGAAGGTGACTTGTTGTGGCTGGGTCACCAAACCCTACCATGTAATCTTGATCCTCCCGAATAGTGTCAACCATGAGATTGGGAGAAGATGACCAACTCAAGGGCTTGTGCGGGCTGGCCATAGTAACATAGATGTGCATGGGGCAGCCACTCCCAAGACACCGTTTCTTCAGGTGGGTCCTTCAGCTCTGCTTTGTATTGGAATGTAGATCACATGGATCTGTAAACAGAAGAAGAAACAGTGGCATCATTATTAATAAGTTTTAAAAATATAGGCATGCAGTGAACAGTACTGATGTGGCCTTGTATTTGTATAAAATAACACGCAGTCTCAAGTAATAACATAGTGTAATCTGCAATTACAAGTTAATAAGGTGCTCTGATGACAGCTCATACTCAAGGTGGTTGGATGGTGTGCACATGATCCAACACCCTCAAAGGTGTAGAGGCCAGACCCAACACCTAATCAAAGCAACACAATTTACCAACACAATCTTTTTGAATAATATCCAGTGAGGTAGACCCTTTCTTTATGCAAATCAAATTGAGCCTAAATCTGTGTTTACTCTGCACTTTTCACTACATCTTTTTAAAAAAGCCATCACAAATCTGGTTTCCTTGTAACTGTGTTGCGCTGAAATCTCAAACAATGTTATCAGCTTTTCCTGCTATCTTCTGTAAACTGCAAATCAATGCCCCTCTGTGTAACGAAGATAGGAAAAGGGCAAGATATTTGTAGTACAAATCAGGGGGATCAGCCAAGGGTGACAATGAAGCTCTTCCAAAGATACAGTACAGTGAATGAGCATTTTCACACTAGAACAGGGAGTGATTACCAGGTGAGAAAAAAAAAAAAGCCCGGTAAAAGGCAAACAATTGCAGCCATCACATGTAAGGCTGCTAAACTGCTGTTGTCTTTATTTGTAAGTACTATGAGGGGAATTTACGAAAACTGTAGCATACAAAATCTGGAACAGCTGTACATGGTAACCAGCCACCATCTTTCATATTAAAAGCTTAACTGAACAAGCTGAAGATAGAAACTGATTGGTTACTATGCACAGCTGCTCCAGATTGTCTCTGCTTTATTCTTAATAATTTCCACCATGTCTGTTGCGTATCCAATTAGAAACATTGGGGAAGTATCAAAATCCACTCTAGGACCATTCCACTGAATAGGAAAGTGTCACTGTCCATTCTAGGACCATTTCTTATCTATCAACATGTGCAAACTACTTTACATAGTACAAGCACATTTTTTTCCTTTAGGTCGGCAAACATGAAATTTAACAATATCATGAAAACTGGAGCAAAGGAAAACAGTGCTGTAATGAAACAATGAATCTGACTGGTAGATATGGGACCCATCCAGCTTTCACAAGACAGCCCTTCCATCTACCGATCATACATTTTGCCTATATTCATTGCTCATGTGTATAATCCTTATTTCCTTATGTTTCATACACAGGGACTACTAATGAATATTGTTTAAATGTGTCCAAAACAATTCACTGTAGCCTTCAAGAATTACTGCTGTGTTTTAAGTAACAATAGAAAGCTATCTGTATGCTGTTGTTCTAAGCAATCTTGCTTTTAGCATTGGAGATACCTTTGGTAAGGGTTAAACGACAGAATAATCGAAATCCATTTTATTTGAAAACAGAGGTTAAAGTACATACAAACAAAACGAAAACAGTTTTGACGAGCAAATATAGACTGATAACACAAAAGGTGGAGCTGGCCTTAGAGCACTGGCTATGTGCTGTGCTCTCTTTGAATTACCCAGAATGCACTGTAAAGGAGTTAACAGAGCGTGACTTTATCAGAGCACAACCTCTGGTGACAGCTGCCTACCAAGGCCTGTCCTTAGGTGGAATAAACCCATTCAACTCGAAGTTCATTAGAGATGTTCTGCAGGTTTAGGAGTCTGTGAAGACAATCCTGCTTAATGACATACCCTGGAGTCCATCCACAGAACTGTCTGCATTTTGACATTTTCGGGCTCTTAGCAGCGTCTGTAATCGTTTTTCAAATGATTCCGAAATGCAAATTCTGAATACAAATGCCAAGTGCCCAGCAACAAATGTATGATACTATAACAGAGTAGATTATGTAATGGGCTAAGATTTCTTAAATAGATCTTAAATGCATTTCAAACTATAAATTGTCTTTTTTTTTTTTTAGACCAAAGAGGCATTTTTTTTCAGCAAGCTTTATGTCAGTGCACCTATTCATAACAATGAATGGTATTTGACAGATCTGTATCTATGGTCAAAAATGAAAGCTGGACTCTTTTTTTTTTTGGAACCCTTGCAACGCACTGCAAGGGTTTACTGCTCGTTTTTGTCTAAATAAAAAAAAAAGTTATATTCACCGGATCCTCCGAGCCTGCTTGTTCTTAGACCAGTCCTTCTAGCGTCTCTCCCCCTCCTCTGCAGCAGTCTAAGGTTCCATAAACCATCACATCTATACACTGGAGGGAGCGATGTGACAGCTGGCTGCCACGGAGCTTCGGGTGAGGATATTTTTTTAGTTTAGCACCTAAACACAAATGAGCACTAAACCCTTGCAGTGCGGGGCCAGGCCCACTTAATAAAAGCAATTCCTGGAGTTCTATTTTGAGTTTCCATAAATTCTATCCCTCTCCTAATAATCATATTAACCTAGAATTTTGTAAAGATTCTTATTGAAGATGCCCCAAGGATGTACTTCCTCAATGCACTGACACAATTTCACCCAGCCCTGTGAATATGCACTTTGTTGTGTTACCACTCTAACTAAGCCTGCTGCCTGAACAATGTAACATTATCATTGTTTGCTGGAAGCAATGCATGATGGGCTATGTCATCTTGAGAAAAGGAAATTGCATCACATCAAGCAGCAGGGAAAGAGGTGCAAAGCACACTGGGAATCCACGAAGTTGATGAAAGTGATTGCCAGACAGAAGGCAGCACTCAAAAAAAAAAAAATCACTTTTATGTAGTAAGTAAGCTTTGACTGCATCATCATCATCATCAAAAAAAAAACAACAAAACGCTTACAATATGTTATAGCAGGATAGTATATGCCATGACTTTAGAACTCCTTTAAACTGAAAAAGCCGGTATATGTTTATGTCGCGTTGGCATTTACTATCGGAACAGGTGCTCAGTGATTGTGTAAATATCTGTACACTTGAATATCTTGCCGAGCAGCCAAATCAAACAGCATGTGACAGAGGCTGTGCAGTGTGAAAAGCCTGGGACTTCTATCACATGAAGGAAGGCAAAGTACAACACACGTTTCATTATATCTCAGTGCTGTTTACTAAGAAAACAGCTCCTGATGGTCACACTGCTATGGGGAGCAAAAGCAGAAATATACTATATAATGAGAGCTATTTTATACTAATAGGTCATACATACATTTTATTTAGAGGGGCTCTATAGTTTAAGAAATGGAACCTTATCAAAGGATGTCATGGTTGTAAAAACCTGGTATCCATGTAAATGCTACTAATTATACTTTTGCACAGTGATAGCCATATTTGTGCATATATTTTTGGTTCCTGCTTAAAGAAACGGTCACTTTGGTCATACAGGGAAAAGTGACAGAGTCTCTTGAAAGGTCACCTCAACTCATTTATACTCACTTTCCCCCTGCTGCTTTGCTTCTCTTTCGGAATTTGGAATCAAACCATGCATAAGCTCCACGTCAACCACTTGGTTATGTTCAGGCCTGGGGATTGGCCACTCAAGCCTGAGGACTGCATCCTGGTACTAGGTCACATATTCCTCCATACCTGCAAGCACCAATTATTCTGGAAGAGCTGTTATGAAGCGTTCCTATGAAGAAATGGATTGGTATGCAGAGTATAAGTGGGTGGGGATGTGGGTTTTCAAATAGCAAAACACTGTTTAACAATGTGGACGCTGCACAAGTACTTGCTGTTGGCTAGTGTTGACTGATCACTAAACTGAAGTATTGCATCATGGGAGGAGGCTACGTTTTCCCATATGCAGAAGTAATTGGTATTTTGTGGAGGCAGCTACGAAGGAAGTAGTGGTGGGGAAGAACAGTGGTGGTGACTATAAATTTGTCAGGGAGTTAGTCTATATAGCTGCTTTTCTTTTCAACTTTACATAAGTTTGTGCAGCATATGTACACTGTAATAATATTGCAATAGACACATCCATGTAGTTATAAATGTAAGGTCCACTTGACATAAAGTGACAAAAATAAAAGAAACAAAAAAGTCTTAGACCTATATTTTATTACTTGAATATATTCATGAATCTTTTTTGTTCTTTAACACTAACTTCTGTCTAAAGCAGCTATTATTGTTTAGTCAAGGACAAAACAACTCTCCAGCTTCTATGTATTTCACCTTTTATTACAGTTGTCATTGTGATGATGCTGGGTAATATTTGGCACACACTACTATTTATCCATTCTGTGTGTAGGCCATGCCTTGATCCGGCTGATAAATTATGAGGTGTCCTGTAGTGCACACAAACACAACGTATCACCAGGGCAGCAGGTAAACACAGGAACAAAAGGCAGAAACAGGCTTTCCTTTAGAGAGCTGTCATCTTCATCACAAGCAGTTTCTGCTGACCTCTGAACCATTCCTGTATTTTTAGATAATATGCAAGGTTTCTGTCCTTCAGTTGCGGAAAATAATACCACTGCTCTAAAGGCCATATTACAAGTCTGATCATATAAGGGGTATTTTAATTATAAAAAGGAGAATAGGATAAAGGGAGACCAGTCCTTTTCTAAGCTTAGGAAACTGCTTTCCCTAAGCTAAGGGTATTGTCGGGGTCCCCCTATCTGCTGGAGTGGAACCCAATAGCAAAAAATAGCACCAGAATGTAAGTTTATACAAATAGGAAAATCCAAATATTCATTGTCAGAGTATAGTCCAGGTCAAGGCAGGCAGCAAGTTTTAGAAGTGGGAAGTCAGGCCAGGGGTCAATAACCAGGAGATCCAAATAGCGGGGAAGGAAGGCACGAAACAGGAAAACACGAAATAACGCTTCATAGCTGCACTGGGAATGGCAGAATAACTCAGCAACAAGTCTTGGCTTTGGCTGGAAACGTTGTAAAGGGAAACAAGGAAGCTATGAGTTTCTAACCTAAGATACCGAAATGCATGAAAACAGTACTGGCTGAAGATATCGGAGCTTGCATTGTGTATCATATGTAAACAATTTCTACCCAGGAGCTACCGTGTCTAAG